GAATGAGTACTTGCGAAATGAATAGGAGACCGGGGCTAGTTGGCAGTATCGGAAAGTTAATGAACTGCGTTTATCTTCAGAGCCTTGACGTTTATCCTCAGAAAGTGACAAAAATTACACACAACCTTCCTAACTGATCATTTCATTATTCACTACAGTATTCTTAGAATTCGCGCATGCGCATAGGAGATATTAGGATTTATGTGTTTTTTGGACAAAAACGTAACTTTTGGAACATCGTTTCCTTTTTACTTTACAAAGAAAATAATTAGTCGTATGAAAAAAAAAATTATTTTAAAAATTTCAGACACAATTGGTTTACTATTTCCAGTCAGACTTTTTTTCAATAGTTGCCGTTTTTCAGGAACTATAGACTACTTATTGGAAAAAAGGCTTTTGAGGTAAGTTGGCAAAATTTTTACGGGGTAAGTTGGATCATAGCATTTACTATGGAAAAAAAATATATTTTTATAAAATTAATATTTTTTTTTATTTTCAACAATATTGAAAAACTTTATTTTTACAATTAAAAAAAAATTATAGGTTTTTTTACAGATAAAAAGTACGCTACTGTTTTGGCTGTTATACGTACTAATTTTGGTACCAGCAATAAGTAATATTAATTTTTTAGCTTAAAACTGTTGCCAAAATGAAAAATAGAAAAATTTCTATAAATTTTGAACCTAATAGTACATTAATAATCATTTTTATAGTTTGAGCCAACTTACCCCGGGGTGGGGTAAGTTAGCTAATTTTTTTTTTGAGGCCCATTAGGGCCTTAAGAAATTTTTTTTATAATGAATGTAAATTAAAAATGTTTCCTGAATTCATACTCTTTATGACTGCGCTTTAATATTTACAAAAACCTTTGTCTTTAGCTTTTAGCTTGCTTTTGTCTTTAGGGCTACAGAGGTCAGAGTAAAGACAGAGGCAACTAGCCCCAGTCTTTCCTAATATTTTTCATAATATATTTCAATAAAGTCTTCTTAATATTTTTTAATGTTTATTCCAGAGTTTTATTGTAAAATTATTCTCTTGAAAATTTTATAATTATATTACAAAACATATCAAGAATTAAAAATATTGTGTTATTTTTTAAAATGTTCACTTATTTTATGCACTACGACATTTAGAAAATAAAAGAATAATGTACAAAGCCATATTAAAAACTAAAGACACATAATTAAGTTTCTTTATAAATAGCTAATTTTATTTTAAATAATTTTTTTTTTTTTAAATAAGAAATAGAAACATACAAAATCCTACGTATAAAATCCTGCACTAATTTGAAGTATCTTCCATGTCATTAACAACTGCTAGTTGATTCTCACTGAACAAAACTTTTTTTAAAAGAACTGTTTTAAAAATTTTTCTCTAAGTTTAACACTTTTTTTTCTCCCATGAGAGTGTATCATCTTTGGTTATACCAAAATAAATAAAAAAAAGATAGGAGTCTTATCTCTTTTTTATCCATCTTGGGATCCGAAGAAACAAAATTAAATAACTTTGAGAGGGAACCAATCTTTGAAGAAGGTTTTGGTTGTTATTTTCTAAAGTCATTCATCTTTGGAAAATCGTATTTTAACAGTTGCATATATCTATCCTCTTTTCCTCTTCCAAGCACTGGTCAGTTAAAGCAAAGAAAACACACTGTGGAGTGAAATACCAAGTGTGTATGAAAAAAAAAGTGTGACCAAGTGTGTCTGAAAATACTAAGATTAAGTGCTATACCAATTTTTCCATACTTTCTGCAGTAAAGTGGACCCATCATAATCTAAGATGATATCATAAATGCTCTAAGATTGTTGTAATTTAAGCATCACTTGCATGCCTAAAAGATTCAGTGAGTCAGCCATTAACCTTAATTCATGGTGTGCATCAAGTTGTAGAAACCTAAAGTTTGAAAGTTGGCAAATCTGTTCCAAAATAAAAAGCAACTAGTTGATAAAAATACCTTAAACTACTTCTGTCAAATATATTTGTTTCAAGAAACATTTTTCAACATTTTTTTGTTTTGGTTGCAAAATAAGAAAAATTGAAAAAGAGAGTTCTAGGAGCAAACTTAGGTCTGTTTCAATCCAATTTTTTTCAATGTTATATTGTGTATTCACACCATAGCTCACCAAGTTCCTTGATTCCTCCCTGCAGTCCTGTCATGACATGTTGAACAGAAAGGAAATCGCTGTTGTTCCAGAAAAACCATGCTTCTCTGACCGGACAATGACATTTGGAAAATTGCATGTTTACGAGAAAATTCTCAATTTGCTTCCAATGCCGAGCTTTCTCCTATAATATTTCTGAAATGGTAATATTTCTGAAATGGAACTGTCCAGATGTTTTTACAATTTTCCTAAACAGTCTAGAACGTTCAAGAAACTTTCAGAACTTTTGAAAAACTCTCAGAACTTCCTAGAGCGTTCTTGAACGCTCCAAAAGTAGCTGTACAAATATAAAAGCACAGGTGTCTCGAACCAAGACTCCAATTTATGTTATTGTAGACTGAAAGGATAACAATTTTGTAGTTGAAGAGAAGTTGTTTATTCGACGTGAAATCAAGAAGTTGTTCGCATTCAGCTGATTTATACGTGTGTGGACGATTCATAAGACGAGAGCAAAAAAGTATTCTGTGGAAACAAGTTGTATAATGTGCGAGGGCTAAAAGACATACTTCGGCATGCCTGATGGGGACCTAGACAAGTTATGGGCACCGCATTTCACATGCGAATATTGCAAGAAAACACTTGAAGGTAAACTGAACAGTTGCTTCTTGCTTAGATATGTTTTAATTTATTTTTATAAAATTTCAATGCTTCAGATCTAGTTAATTTCAAGGAGTTGTAGTTTGGGAAGTTTTGTCATAAGTCGTGTAATGTAGGCATTTTCCGTCTTGAAATCGTTCTATATTTTGAAATTTCCTGTCTTCAAATTATTATAATTCTTATGTAATGTTATATGCTATGTTAGAGGTTGCTATAGTGGAGAGAAGCGAACCATGAAGTTTGCTATCCCGCAAATTTGGCGAGTGCTGACGGACCACTCAAGCAACAGCTACATGCGAATTTGACAACAATTGCATGGTCAACCCAAAAAATTTTTGCACCGGCAAAAATACCCCTCAGATTATTTTTCTGGACATACATTCTTCAATCGCCCCAGTACTACACAGCCCAGATCATACTTAAATGCACTTGGCAACATTTTGACACTGGTGTAGTTCTCTTTGAGGTGCACAGAGTGGGCCATCGGCTTAGAGGCTCCGAACTATCTATGTTTAGGCTCCATTTAATAGAATTACATGCAATATATATAGCCTGGAATAAATTGGTAACATTGTTGCAGAAGTACAGACCATCACGCTGACTGAAGAAGTTAGAGAATCTTTGATGCCGTTTCCTCTGAACCGTTATTTGCACGCCATCATCAAACAAGTTCCACTCCTTGAGCCAGGAAATCAGACGCTTGGTATTCGATTTCGTAAGCCCGAGGTCCCTAATTAAATCTTTCACGTCTTTCTGGTTAGGGAAGTTCAACTTTCTACCCCCAACTTCATTTGCGGAATCGTAGTTCATATCTCCAGTATCTGCTTCGCTATCTGACTTGTTGCTGTCTTCTGAAGATGGCTGATGCCGCCTAAGAAGAGGTAATTTTGGTTTTACCTAATCGTAGCGACAAAAATGAATAAAAATTGTTAAATATTTAAAAAAAAAAACGAGTTTTCTTTGTGCTGTTGTTGTGTAAGCAAAGTTAATGTTTAAAGAAGTCATTTTTTACTTTAGAGATAAGCAATTGAAATATAACACTTAGAAGCCAGGAACAAAAATTGTGTTACATAGTGTTATTTTATAAAAATATTAATAGCCAATATTTTTACAAATAGTTAAGAATTTAAACATGTAAGTTTTTTCAATCATAAAATGTAAAAATATTTTGCAATTTCAATGAGATTTTTTTTCTGAAACATCTTCTTCAGCAAAACTATTGGGTATTAGTGCTACTGATAAAATGATTTACGCAACTTAGAATAATGCTTTTTCTACAACCAAAGAGCTAAAACTCGTTAAAAATGACAATTTTCCTGATGAGATACCCTGAAAAAAATACTTTTGGAATAACACGTTGGGACACTCTAACAAAAAATTATTCTGGTGTACACCCAGAGTGAATCCTCTTGTGGGATATTAGTCTCAGATGAAACTTGGAGGTCTACTTGTGTTTATACTTACCATATTCATATTATCCATATTATCCGTAAATGTCTATGCAACACATTTACGGTCTATAGACCGTAGTCTATATTTACGGTCTATAGACCGTGGTAAATAATGACTTTTAGTGTATACACCAAAAGTCATTATTTACCACGACAATTGATGACTTTTACCATGCTCGATTATTATTTAATTGTTTACTATTCTTTTTTATATTTACTATATGTTAAAATTACTTACTAATAATTTTTTTTTGGAAAATATATTTCTGGAACTTATAGGAATCATCTATGATTTCTATTACAGAATGACCAAAGCCATTATTATTTTTTTTAAATGTATTGTATTGGTTTTACATTTCACGAATAACATTGCATATAAGATGCAATTTTATTCAAAAGTTTGTTTATTTCTGTTATTAACTACCTTTAAAACGATCAAATAGTTGCTAACACATCAATTAAACATCAAAAAACTATAAATGGTATTCAAAAAATTTAATCTCACTAGTATACTATATTTTGTACAATAATTTATATATATTACAATAAACTCAAACCAATATGGTAACAATACTTACAAGCCGTGACATTTTACACGTTATTTAACAAAGTTATGCCCTAAAAATATAATACACATCTAAAAAAGTTCTTTAAAGGCTTTTTAAAAACTTTTTTTTACTAAAAATTTTTTTAAAAACTCTATAAAACAATTGTCAAATTTAAAAAAAAAAAAAGAAAAATACTTTAAAAACACTTTTTTCTTTTTTCATTGTTCCTATAAAATAAATTGGTTAACTAAATAATTATATATATTCAATGAAACGCAATTTTTTATTTGAAAATAGTTTAAATGTAAAACAGACTTTAGTTACAATAAGAAAAGTAAAAACTGCTCCAGCAAAAACAAAAATGTAAAGAAGCTTGATGGGCTTTTGTTCTGTATGAGTTGATTTTAACAAAGAACTACTATCGTATGGTGGATGAAGTTTCCAATCTAAATAAGTTCGTGGTTTGCAAACATCTGGATCAAGCCCAGCATGCAATCCACCTTGTGCAAGACGCATACATACCTGACAAAATAGTGGGTATTTAGGTTTCCACCAACGCCCGATAGTTGTGTTACTTATATCTCCAAATCCCGTAGTCTTCCACAATAGATATTGGTTATAAGCAGTTTCATTTTGACTTAAATAATTTAAATATTCTCCTAGTTCCTTAGGTGAGTTAAAGTCAGTTAGCTTTATGATTGAGTTTTTTAAGTTCCCAGGTAAAAATTCGTCAATTTTGTTTGTACCCATATAAACAGGTACGGATCCCGTATCTAGCGCATGGTATAACCTATCATCTACAAAATAATCGCAATCTTGGTTCATAAAGACCAATGAAAATTTATAAAACCTGGTGAGTACCAGTTTGTAGTCTTTAAAAACATACTTTCCGTTTACTTGGCCGTATAAACCAATTAGTCCATCCCTATTTTTTAAGCATGAACCATACGAATGTACTTCGGTGTACAGCATCAATTGACGCATGTATTCAGTTCGAACAACTTCACATTTAGAAAAAACGGCCAAAACATTACCTAGTCTTTGTTTAAATGGAATTGGTTTTGTTAAAGTTGGCATCGGATAAATTGGAGAAGGGAAATCTGAATCCAATCTATAAGATATTAAAAGATTGAATTTACTCATAACTCGTGGGTCACTTATAGCTGGAGTATATACCGGATTTTCGTTATTCTGAAGAATCCATGGTGCAAGATACTCAAAAGGTGGAAAGTCCCAAACGTCCGTAAGCCGAGAATGAACAACAAAAGCATCTGCTTCTTTTGCACGAGCTCTATTGTTTGTTAATTCACATTGTACAGGGCAATTTTCTCCAACATACGTATAAGGCCAGACATGTTTATCTTTTTCATATTCTTTTTTTGTTTGCAGTCTTGCAACATGACCGCGTATTTTCGACCAATACAGGATAGTGTATTTCTTTTTCAAGTTTGCTGTTTTGTTATTCCAGGTTTCTGGATTAAACGGACTTCCTAAACTCGGTAACTTTTTTTTTTGACGAAATTTTTTTAATTGCAAAGTAGAACTGATTGCAAAGGTTTTTCCTCTTGCTGTTTTATTAGAATGCACTTTTAAAGTACTTGCTTCTTTGTAAACCATTGCACTGCAAGTAAATATTGCAGCAAATAAACTCATGATTAAAAATATAATAGAAAATATAACTTTTTTATGTTTTTGAAAAGAAAACATACTTAAATACAATATTTTGTTGATGTGTTGAAGAGATGTTCCAGTTAAAATATTCACATTAATTTAGCGTTTGAGTTTTATTGTTTCACAGTATTGTTTTTGATTTAACTTTCCTTTCTATATTTAGATTAACCTTGGTTAAATTATGTCTCATTTGTTAACCATTTATCAGCAATAACAATAAGGACAAATTACTGATTGGCGAAACATAAACACAAAGCATTGTTTCACCAAACTATAATAAAGAATAGTTTTTGCATTAAATAAAACTTTAAAAGTATTATAAACTTATTATATAATTTTTTATAAACATAAAAATTTTTATATAAAGATAAAGATATATATATATATATATATATATATATATATATATATATATATATATATATATATATATATATATATATATATATATATATATATATATATATATATATATATATATATAATACACATATATTGTATATAAATATATATTTAAAGCCAACAATCTAATATAGGTCTACAATCATACCTTTGCAGCAACTTCAAACAACAATTTGCAGAATGATCTACTGTTACATTCACGCCAAGATGCGGCTGTAGAGAGAAAGTCTGGCAAATTATGCAGCTTTTAGTATGCTTCACTGCTCTACTAGTAAACTGCTCGAAATTTTAGATTCTACTTTTTTTAGATTTCAAATAATTCGGAAACATTTTTACTTTTTTTTAATTTCTGTATTGTATATATATATATATATATATATATATATATATATATATATATATATATATATATATATATATATATATATATATATATATATATATATATATATACACGTAAATTATTATATTTACGAATATATTTAATTAACAAATTAACTAAAACATCTACACGATTTGATGTTTAATTAAAGTTAATTAAATTATCTGTTTTAAACTAATTTGCAAAATAAATTATAATAATGTTAAATAAGATTTTATCGGCTTTTTAAGGTTTTGCTGATATCGATAAATGTAAACTTATTTAAGAGGTAGCAACGCATTTTGTTTATTTGTGTACTGATCTAAAACAGCTGTGATAGACAGCTGGTTTACTCTGTGGTACTTTAACTAACCAAACGAATATTTTTTTTTTTCGGAGGTTTGGATTATAAGGAAATGGAGGAAAAATAGTTTATTTTTATTTTTGGTACATCAAATTGTAAAAAATTTATTTTTTAGAAAATAAACGAGTAATTTAATTGGATATATATATATATATATATATATATATATATATATATATATATATATATATATATATATATATATATATATATGGATATATATATATATATATATATATATATATGTATATATATATATATATATATATATATATATACATATATATATATATATATATATATATATATATATATATATATATATATATATATATATATATATATATATATATATATATATATATATATATATATATATATATATATATCTTTTTATGATATATATATATCTTCTTTTTAAGATATATCTTTTTATGAACTCTTTTTCAGACTCATAGTTTACTTGTCTAGTGCTTCTGAATTACTTCATCACTATTGTGATTGTTGTAAATAATGTATGTATGTATGTTGTAAATAATGTATATATATATATATATATATATATATATATATATATATATATATATATATATATATATATATATATATATATATATATATATATATATATATATATATATATATATATATATATATATATGTCCATATAGTTGTATATTAGAACCCTGCGATATGACTTTTTTTTTTCGAATCGAATATCAATTTAAAGCATGTTTGGATTTCCAATTCGAATCAGGAATTAAATCAACATTTTGAGGAAATCTAAACTTAAGCATTTTTTTTTATAATACATATTTCAAAAAAAAAAACTTCATTTGGGATTAAGTCTTTACATTCCGTTTATTCATTTATTTTTATATTCCGTCTGTCAATTTTCTTGGAATGGCTTGAAGTTTTTTAAAGACACTCAAAAACAAAGACATTTGCATTGTATTCCCCTAAAATAAGTAAAAAGTAAAAAAGAAATAATAATCGTTACTTGATAGGATAAAAAAGAGTTAAAATAAAATGTCTTTATATTTTTTTGCGCCTAAATCAAGGTTTCAGCATTATTATTAGATAGAGAATGACGTGAATATCTTATTATATTTCTACCAGTTGAGTCGACTCGTTCAGAAGAACAACTTGTTGCTTGTACAGCTATTGAAGATTGAGCCGCGTACGAAACAACAGGGTAAATTTTTTTTTTCTAGTATTTAAGTGGGCAATTATCACAATTTATGGTTTGCGAACAACTGTAGAAACCCATTTCCGTAACAACGCAATTTTCAGTTGTAAAAGTTTATGTTTTTCAAATTCTTTTTCTTTAATTTGTTTAAATACATCGTCAAGTAAATTTTTAGATAAGTTTTCAACTATTCTTTATTGATAGAATTTACGCAAGGAGTAGTTTTGCATGGTTTAAAATCAGCGGAAATTTCAATTAGATGGTTTTTCACAATTGAAAGCTCGTTTTCAGTGTGAATTACGGCTTTAAACCTAGGGTCTTAATATGTTGAAGTAAGGAGCGTAACATTTTCTAAATTAAAGCGTGCATGTAGTTTTGAAAGTAACTCCTTTTTAAAGCTGCTCATAAAGCTACAATTTATTGAATCTAATTGAACTTTTAAAGTATAAATGCAAAGTTTAACTAAATTGATAGCCACAGTATTATGAAAAGTGAGTAGTGTTGTTGCGTCCGAAATCGGTTTTAAAAATGGAATACACTTTTTCTGAATATCTTGCATCGTCACCGATAAAGCTTAAGGAGGAGCTTTTGCGCATCTACCACTTAAAGGTAGATGCGCTAAAACTCCTTTGCTGCTTAAAGGTAGATACGCAAAAGCTCCTTTGTGCCAGAGTTTTGTACACGTTATGTGGTTTTGCACGTTTTGCATAAATAAAACTGATCTTTTAATTCAAAGTAAAACTTAATAACTCCTACCATTGAATAAATTGAAATATACTAATTTGGAAGAGTTAGTGAAATGAAAAGAGTATAAGAAATCAAAAGTCAATTTTGAAAATAACGTTTTTTTATTTAATTGCCTTTCAACTAAAGAAATAAACGTGTGACAAATCTAGATAGTTTTTGATTCCTTTATCTAAACGAAGAAAGTTTATAAAAGAATATATTTAAATTTATATGCTCTCCTTAAAATAAAATACAAAAAATAAAATCTTAGTTGTATATTCTTTTTGTAGCATCACGGCGGAGTTTTAAAAACGTTGGAATGAACGACAATTTTATAATTTATAATTGAAAGTTAAGGGTTTGAAATTGAAAGTTAAATTGAAAGTTTTTATTCTATTGAGGGATCATTCATAAAGTTTAACGCAAAATTTTCCTTTTAAGTAGAAGTAAGAGATAATTGGTTCTCTTGCGCTGATTCTTTTAAAGTTATATAGCGCTTTAAAACAATGAAAATTTCCGTGCGTCAGAGGTCAAAAGATCTTACCTATATTTAAAAATTATTTATAGCGTTACATACTTTATGGGAAAACCCCTTTCAATTTTTCAATTTCAATTTCAATTTCAATTTTTGCCAAGCAACCATTTACAATTAAAGATAATTTCCGTAAAATATTTAGAAATATTAAATACAAGTACATTTCATTATTTATAATAGTTACAAGACCGGAGAGCCTGAAGAAGATAAAGTCTTTTCATCAGTAACCTTTGATAATAAAAATTGGAAATAATCGTGTATTGTTAGAAAAAGTCATGTAAAGAATCGTGATTGGCAATAAGTTCGATTATGTTCTTTTTAAATTTTTGAGAGGTATTGGCTTCTTTAATTTTACCACTCAGACTTGTAAAATGGTTCCATAGCATTGGGCCACGATAGGAAATGGCAAAGCTCGTAAGTTTTGATGAACGGAAAGGTTTTTTAAATCTTCCGGTAGATCGCGTGTTGTATCGGTTCAATGTTTTATGGAAAATATTTTCGAAAACCTTCGGCGTTTTTTTTGACTGATGTTGAAACATAAATTGTGTAATTTTGAAAATATTTAACTCATAAATATCAAGTGCCCTCATGCTTTTTAGAAGAGGTTTAGCATTTGTGAAGCGATTTTGAAAATGAATAACGCGTGCTGCATGATTCTGTTGTTTAAGGAGACAGTCGAGTTTAGATTTATTTGTACTACCCCAAACAATATTGCCATAAGATATATAACTATTTATGAATGCAAAATAAGTTCAGTTAGTGTAGATTTGTCTAAGATTCGTCTGGTTTTATATAAGATGCCAATACTTCTTGAGATTTTATTGCTAATATGATTTATATGAGCTCTCCAGGATAATTTTTTGTCTATTAAAATACCAAGTAATTTATTTGTGAATGGGCGCTTAATATTGATGTTATTTATATACAACATTGGTAAGGATTTTGGAATAGATTGAAACTTTCGTTTAGAATGGAATAAGGAAAACTTAGTTTTATCAGTGTTTAAAGATAAGCTGTTAGCGAAAAGCCAGTTTGATATTTGTTCTAGTTCATTATTTGCTACTTGAAATAGAGAGATAGTATTACTGTGAGAGTAGAATAAAGTGGTTTCGTCTGCAAACATAATAGCAGACATAGTCTTTGATGCTTTATATAGATCGTTGACATAGATTAAGAATAGCAACGGACCTAAGATGGAGCCTTGTGGAACCCCACATGATATTTTAAGTTTGTTTGTCTGAAAGCCATCATTAAGAGAAATAAACTGCTTTCGATCAGTTAAGTAACTGGTAAACCATTTATGGTATTCGTGGCTTATTCCATAATATTTAAGTTTTTCTAATAAAATCTGATGGTTAACGGTGTCAAATGCTTTTGACAAGTCTATAAATATACCTAAGGTGAACTTGTTATGAGAAGATGCTTCACTGATAACTTCAACAAGTTGCATAAGGGCATGTTCCGTAGAGTAATTTGATCGAAAACCATATTGGTTCCAATAAAGAAGATTGTTATCATACAAAAATGCAAATATCCTATTATACATGATACGTTCGAGGATTTTTGAAAATACAGGTAATACCGATATAGGTCGATAATTTGTAACCAGACTTTCATCTCCTGATTTAAAAATGGGTGTAATAATTGCAACTTTCATTTTATCTGGAAAAACACCTGTTTTAAGCGATTTGTTAAAAATATCTAATAAAACATCTTTAATAAGTTCGTAGCAGTCTTTGATTATGCTTGCTGAAATAGCATCATAGCCTGTTGCTTTATTTTTATTTAATTTTTTTATTGAATCATCAAGTTCTTTACTAGTGAGTTTTTTAAATGCTAAGCTTTTATCCGACTTTGATAGATAGCTCAAGAAATGTGCAGGAGTGTGTTTAATTTTGCTGGCTAAGTTTGGACCAATATTTACGAAAAACTCATTAAATTTTGTTGCCACCGATTTTACATCAGAGATCTTAAAAACAAATAAACTACAAAAAAAAAAAAAAAGCTATTTTATTGTAGCGACTGACAGAACTACTTAACAAAAAAAGACTTTAATGGTTAGCAACCACTTATTTTGAAAGTATATTATGAAACCTTGATTCGAAAATTTGCAGATTTTTGAATCGAATTTCGAATCACTTTTTTGATTCGATTCGAAATTTCGAAGCTT